CGGTACAGATTTGGCCGAGAATCGTTGCAGCATATCTCACGATTGATTGCAAACGATGTACGGCCAACAACAAACCGTAACAAAGCCTTGTCAACCGAAGAGCAATTGGTCATTGCTCTTCGTTTCTTTGCGTCCGGGAGCTTTTTGCAAGTCATTGGCAACACTCACGGTTATGATAAAGCCACTGTTTCGAGAGTAGTGCGTAAAGTCGCACTTGCATTGGCTTCTAAGCACGCAGACTACATCAATTTCCCATCAACAAATGAGGAAAAAAATGCTATTCGTACTGGGATGTATTTAATTTGCGGGTTTTCTCTGCGCCATTGGCTGCGTTGATGGCACACATATACGTATAATTGCTCCTTCCCAAAACAAGCCAAATTATGTAAATAGAAAAGGATACAACAGCATAAATGTTCAAGTCATTTGTGATGACAAAGGTAAATATGAACATATTAAACATGTTTAATTAATATTCAAAACCATAATGTACTAGATATCAAGAACCATAATATAATACACTTCAATAATCATCATATAATAGATAATCATAACAATAGAATTTTACAAAGTTATCCACTTAATTTATCTTACAAGTATTAATACGACCTACTTGATATAAAATTTATAAATGTGGTAGCACGATGGCCAGGATCATGTCATGATTCATTCATCTTCCGGTCCTCTACCATTGGCATCGAATTCTTTGTAAAACAACTTTGGCAATACTCCATCGTGAACACATATGTGGTTATTTCAAGCCGGCCATTTTATTTCGGGATGGGTTGGTTGGTATAAATTATAATGTTATGTTTAGCGTAATGGCGGGAAAATTTAAAATCCCTTGTGTTGTATTAAAACGTAAACAAAAGACAATAACAAAGTAGCATCTTGCTTCTGCTTATTCTTTTACGAAGAATTCTTCTATGCATTTCAAAGAATGAGATTTTAAAGATCATAATTACCTACAAATGTACCACCAGACTCGAAGCCTCCTTGAATACCTGAGAATGAAGGTTCATCTCCCAAAATATTTATGATTTTCTCCGTTGTTAAAGAAGGTGGTTTTGTAGCAGGACCTCCCCCTGTTTTTCTTTGCGAACTCATTATTCCAGCATTGGTTTTTTTGGCAATCTGTGCCAGGTTTCTCCATTTTTCACGCACTTCTTTGGCGTGCGATTTTCAAACCCCAAGCTGTTTATTTGCGAGGTTATCTTCTCCCACAACTCTTGTTTTTTTGCATTTGTTATGCTACTTGAAAATTGCCCTCGTATTGCATCCAATTTTTTCTCCACAAGCTCAACAAGAAGAGAGTATTCTGCAGAGCTAAAGTTTTGTTTTTTTTTACTTTTATTTGAGGACTCATCTTTGATTGATAGAGAAGACATCTTGGATTGAAATGATATAATACATCTACCAATGACAACAGTTACACAACGAATGCATGATTATGATGTAACAGAGAAGAGATGTGAGTCATTTGAAAACAACTACAGAGTACAGAGCAATAACCAATGAATTTTATAAAAACTTCATTATGCAATATCAATATCACAATGCAAAACAATATATTGTCTTTAAATGTACATTAAGCAATTTTCAAGAGTCAGATAGCTGAACCATGAGAATTAAGTAGCTGAAAAGAAAAAGGTTAAATATTTTTGAGAATAGATTTTAAATTAAATAAGTTAAGAGGAAATATTCTATGTACCTGCGGACACTCAAAATCTATAATAAACAAAATGGCATGAGTTTAACAGGATAGAAATGACAATGAAGACGAAATGAATACAATATTTATTCTATATCCCCTTGTTACAATTTAATGACAGAGGAAAGATATGTCATAACAGTCGTGAGATTACATTGTAACTATGATGACCTTTAAGAAATGTTTGCTAACAAGTCTATCAATAAAAAGTCTATGACTGTCTTCTTTTGCTCATACAGTCATACCTGTGACCAAATGTCTTGTCATAAAACAATGATTAATTTTTTTGGTTAACAACATTTCTTTCAATGATTAGCAAAACAATATCTTTCTCGTTTATACACTATTTCTAATAATGTCAATGGCTGTTTAAAGCTATTCAAATACTTACCAAGATGCAAAAAGTAGGAAACAAATAGAACTCCCAAGCTTTAGACAAAAATAGGCTAATAAATCACAAAGGCATGAATAAAAGTTCCATAGCTAAGGCTCATTAACAAATATACCCAATAGTTTTTATAACTCAGTTTTTGAAAGGTAGAATTAAGAACAAATAAGTATTTTGTGTATAGCTGTGAATATAACATGTCACAAGCCGATAAAAGACAGTTGCTGGATCACATGGCTACTAACTATGACAACTCAAAGAAATGTTTTCTAATAATTAAAAAGTCCATCACTGTCATCTTTTACAAATATGTGTGACTTATGTCTGTACAAACACATTTCTTTCAAGCATTTTACTCAGCTGTTATAAAGAGAAACGAAACGACCCTTTTCCTTTGTTACCCTCAATCTCCTAGTTTTAAATTCTGAAAGAGCGAGGCCATTCAATTATTTAAATCCTTGCACATAGAACACAATATGAATCAATTTGAGAAGAGTTCATTGTTTCGTTTGCCCAAGTCCGTTATATATAATTGGTACATGAAAAAAAGCAGTCCTTGCCGAGACTCATATCATTTGTCAACATCGTACTGTATTACACAGAAGATAAGGGTCGATTTTCTTGAGAAAAGTCCAAAGTATATGCTACAATTTAATCCGGTTACCATGTCATCGTGAATCTTTTATTAAATTTTCTTTTCGCTTCATCAACATCCGTAAAAACGACAATAGTTTGCCATATTTTAAGATTTTTACTTTGCCAAGAGATTTTTTTTCATTTTAAATTCATTTTATAGTTCACTTGCCCGCCATTACCAAGCATAAATTGATTAAACTTTATGTCATTTTATGTAAACAACACTCCACGCAATTTCCACGCAAGTTAACTACGCAGTTACTTAACTATCGGACAAACTACGTTTTGTGCAACGCAGTTAAGTCAAGCAGTTAAGTTACTACAGTTAAGGAGTTAACTACGGTAGTTAGCGTTAACTATAGTTAAAGTTAACTACGTTTTTATACAACCGGCCCCAGAAAAGGAATTACGAGATGAGCTTCTTATTGTGTACTCTGAAACAGCCCCGAACATTGCTTCGACATTAGATATGTAGTTTTCAAACTTATTTCTGGCAATATTCGATACCTATTGGGTTATTGTTATGAAATACTTGAAGACTTTGGCAAAGCAATCTCTGTATACCAATAAAAAATTCTCTGTGTTCTTCAATAACCTCGTCCATGATTGCAAGAAATTCCTGAATTCTTTCAAAGTTAACTTTGATCAAGTATCGTCAGTAACAGTAGTTTACTGCTAAGTCGCTGACCATTGTTACTGTTATAAATCTCGACAATAACCTGAAATTCTCCTCTTATTTTTAGATTTTCGCTATGTATATCAAAATCTCGACCATCGCTTAATATTCTCGACCATCGCTAAATATTCTCGACCATCGCTAAATATTCTCGACCATCGCTAAAAATTCTCAACCGGTATAGTTTGTTTTTCTCAAATGCTAGATCATATTTTGAGCATATGCTTATTATTCTCGAACTTAAGTTGGTATTCTCAATACACTTTAGTCACGTTTGGCTTACCATAAAGGATACCTAAATACCGAACTATGGACTCAAGCTCAGATTTACCTTTGAATTCTGATTTGAACTCGAGCTCGGACTCGAGCTTAAACTCGAGCTCTGATTTGACCATAGACTCAAGAATGGACTTGATTTTCGACTATACCTCGAAATCGAACTAAATTGACTTGTATACTAGTGCCTATATATTGCGATCGAATTATTTAGCACATTCTTACAAAAAATCAAAAAATATGAACTGCAAAACAATAAGGCCCAAACTCACACTTGTATATGATATTGCCAATGCCGGTGTCATATACAGAAATTAGCATGAGCTCGATTGATCTGTTGGCAAAACGAATTTCTTTTCGCTTTAAAAATCGTCGCTAAAATCTATAAGCGTAGTTAAAACATAAAAGGTCAAAATGTTTGACCAACGCATGCTCCGCATGTGACCACAAACATCAATCATATCGATAGATTTTGTTCGGACCGGTGAACTATACGAGGCCTTTGACTTGTATTTATTGTCCAGTCGAGTAATCAGTAATTATTCTAGCTTCGCAGATATTTATCTATTTCTAACTTTATTCTGGTGACCGTAGTCTATTGATGAATTAAATGAAAAACTGAAAGTGAATGACACTACTTTTTTCTCGTGTCTTATGAATTACAAATATTATGTTAGTAAATTTACATCATATTAAATTAATACTCGACGTCACCTTATGATGTCATACTTAGCACCCAAAGCTTTCTTTGCCGTTGTGTATCTTGCATTAAATATAAAACAGCAATGGAGCAGGCACCCAAAGCTTTCTTTGCCGTTACGTATCTTGCATGAAGTAAAAAAACAGCAATGGGGCCAGCACCCAAAGCTTTCTTAGCCGTTACTTATCTCGCAAAAAGTAAAACTACGTAAAAGAACACAACGTGCATGGTCGTCAATCCTGCGATAATTCGGGGGGACCATGTTCATTTATTCTGTTATGTCAGGCTGATTCCTTTTAAAAATAAATTGTTTTGAAAAGAAATTACCCAGGCATAGCAGAATATATGAATATGGTCCCCCAATTATGAAAGGACTGACGCCAATGACATAACGAGTACAACACACGTTTGTGCTAGTGAAAATTTGGAAACTCTTGTGGTACGACCCAGACCCACCTATAGACTGCTCCAGCTATTAGAAAATGTAGTGCATCGGTGAGCTCAAGGGCTAGATTCACACATGCTTAATAACCGTGGAGACAAGGCAGTGCGCCATCAGGTGTTATATTTTCACGCAAGTGATCTTAATACATCTCACAAAACTTTTTTATAGATGTAAAACGTTTGATTGGCAGAAAGCTTAATAACGCAGAAGTTCTGTCTGACATGAAACATTGGCCTTTTACTGTCATCAAGGATGGCTTTCGCCTAAAAGTAGAAGTAGAATATAAAGGAGAAAAGAAGCGCTTTTTCCCAGAAGAAGTAAGTGTTCTCGTAGTGATTTATTGTGTTTTAAAAATGGAATTTTATCATAAGAACATGTTTTTGCCAGATATCATCAATGGTGCTGACAAAAATGAAGGAAACTGCTGAAGCTTATCTTGGGAAGAAAGTGACTGATGTGGTAATTTCTGTTCCAGCATATTTCAATGATTCACAACGTCAGGCTACAAAGGATGCTGGTAAGGAAAATAGTTGTCAATGTTTAATTTAATTTATTGTTTTCATATTGTTAACTTGTCTAAAATTCATCAACTGTGCAGGTGTAATTGCTAAACTCAATGTCCTTGAAATCGATAATGCAGCAACATTAGCTGCCATTGCCTATGGTTTGGATAAAAAAATTGGATCTGAAAAGAATGTGATGATATTTGACTTGGGTGGTGGTACATTAGATGTGTCGGTTCTTGCTATTGAAGATGGTATCTTTGAAGTAAAATCAACAGCTGGGGACAATTACTTAGGTGGAGAAGATTTTGATCAGTATATGGTTGAACACTTTATCAAAGAATTCATAAGAAAACACAAGAAAGACATTTCTAGCAACAAGCGTGCGATGAGCCGCTTACTTACACACTGTGAAAGAGCCAAGAGAACTCTGTCGTCCAGTACGCAAGCCAATGTAGAAATTGATTCACTATTTGAAGGCATTGATTTCTATACCAGCATTACCCGTGCATGCTTTGAAAAACTTTGTGAAGATAAATTCCGTGCTACTCTAGAACCTGTTGAAAAAGCATTAAAGGATGAGAATCTTGACAAGAATCAAATTCATGATATTGTTCTTGTTGGCGGTTCAACTCGTATTCCAAAAATTCAAAAATTGTTGCAAGAATTCTTTAGTGGGAAAGAGTTAAACAAGTCAATCAATCCTGACGAAGGTGTTGCCTATGGTGCTGCTGTCATAGGTGCCATCTTGTCTGGTGATATAAGTGATGATGTTAAAGATCTTTTGCTTATCGATGTCACTCCATTTTCCCTTGGATTTGAAACTGCTGGTGGTGTCATGAAAGTTGTAATTACAAGAAACACAACCATCCCAACAAAGAAGATACAGACGTTCACTACTTACTCACATAATCAGTCAGGTACGTTACTTGCAAGGAGTATACAATTTGCAATGCACGCATAATTTCATAGAAATTCTCTGCTAAAGTCCGAGTCTGATATTATCTGTTTATAGATGTACTCTTTCAAATATTTGAGGGTGAACATGCCATGACTGCAGACAATAATCTACTTGGCAAGCTTGAGCTGTCGGGTATTCCTCCCTTACCAAAAGGTGTCCCTCAAATTGACGTCACATTTGACGTTGATCGTAACAGCACACTCAATGTTTGTGCAGTTGAAAAAACTACTGGCAAAGAAAGTAGAATGACCATTACTAACGATAAAGGAAGACTAAGCAAGGACGATATTGATAGATTGATTTCCGAGGCTGAGAAGTACAAGGCTGACGATGATAAGCAAAGGGAACGTGTTGAAGCTAAAAATTGTTTGGAAAGTTATGTCTTTCAAACAAAACAAGCAGTTTATGAAATCTTACATAAATGTGATGAAGTTATCTCCTGGTTAGATTCCAATGAAAATGCAAAAAAGAATGACTATACCGATAAACAAAAGGAACTGGAAACGATCCGTAATGAAGCTATCACTAAAGTAGGGCAGGATGCAGAGAGTGCTGTTGGCATGTCTAGTAGAATGCCTGATGGTCTTCCTAATAAAATATCTGGTGATTTTCCATATCAAGAATCACAAGGCCCAACTGATAAAGATGATGATTTCATTTAATACACAATATAATTTATACTAGTTTGAATAACAACGTATATATCATCAGTTTGTTTCTTTTCGAATCTTTCTGGAAATTTTGTTACGTATTTAGAGATCACAACTGCTTCTCAAACGCTAACTCATTAATTCTTCTAGATGTAAGAACATTGAATAATTTCACATTCAAATCAAAACTATAGATATTCGCATATTTACTGTCAAAACAAAGCGAGTAGTAATCATGTGTATTATAATTAAACAATTAAGATTTCTTGCACAATTTTATTCAAAACTACAAAGCATGCATAGTTTCTGTACTTAAAATGTTTGACGATTTTGTCAATTTTAGTAAATGCCTCGTCACAAAGCATAATAACCATGTTATTACATCAGTGACTTTTACATCCGTATTCTAAAACACCACTTACACTCACACTTAATTAGTGTTGCTTCAGAATCATTTCACAATTATTTGAAGACCGAAATCCCCCTAAACTAATTGTTTGATTTGAATTCTACAACGTCATCAGCCACGTCACTACGGAGTCACATGTCACATGAGAAGCGCGCGCGCGTCGCTTTTGGATCAGAGCACTGCGCGTTTGTTGATCAAAGAGGAACAAATACACGATTATATTATAAATTTCCTAACACTTTTAGAAGAGGAAAGGTAACAAATCGTTAGTATATCCGTATTTTAGAATTCTCCTTATTTCAAAATTTATCATTTAGCGGGTATGACTAACATTGAAGAAACAACTAATGACATAGAAGACATATCAGCGGGCAAACAACAGCCTGATACTCAAACTATTGCTGAAGAGCTAGCTGAACTGAAATCAATGATATGTATCATGTGGCTGCATCAACAAGCAGGGATGATACAAACTCGACTCGACTCGACGTTTAGGAAAACTATAAGAGCCGACATAAACGGCGCCGATCGAACTCTTCGACGGACAGTGAAGATGATATCCGTCAGGAGAAAAACAGAAAAATCAAAATCAGTTAATGATACTAAAAATGAAAACAACTCGAATGAAAATGACAAAATAAGCGTTTGCGCTGATGAACTTGGCGATGATAATATCTCTGAGCTTATTAACAATGATAAAACAGAAACAAATGCGAGTTCAACCGATGATACACTTCAACAGCTTGCTGAAATATTTGACGACTCGGAGCCCACAGGAGATTATATTAAACAACATCTTGCAAACATTGTCGAGAAAAGGTGGCAGAAAAAACTTGCTCTTGACAAACTAAAGTCAAACCAAGACAAATACAAACGACCTGCCAAATGCCCTTCTGTATGCTCTATCACAGTAAACCCCAAAATATGAACAAACTGCTATTCTACCAACAAAGAACAGACCAAAGCATATCAAACATACAAGAAGCAGTACGAAAAACAAATTTTATTGCAATTCAAACAGCGCTCATTCTGAGCGCGACAAAGGCAAAATGACCTTGACATTAAAGAACTGTTAAGTCAACAAGTCGATTTAATAACAATGCTGGGACACATCAGCCATAAACTACCAAGTGCTCGCAGGAATAAAATAAAATGTGTTCTAAAACGAGAATATGCCCCCACTTGCTCAAATAACGGCGAACGCAGCAAATTTCTATTTGTGGATGAAAATATTGAAAGAAGCAAAAGAAAGGAGCAATGTAAGTCAGGTAGTCAAATACAACCAACTTCGATCAACCCCATCTCGCTCATACGATTCAAAAAATTAAGATAAACGACATTAGCGCCAAGATGAATGAAATTATGAAGGTGGAGCGAAGTCGGATTTTCACAAGCACGGGAAGTCATACTTCCCAAAGAAAAGTGTGAAACGACAAACACACAAGAAATAATTCCCCAATTACAACATATAAAAAACACATCGGTAAGCAAATGGGAAAATTTTATTCCAAAGTTAAAAAACCTCTTAATTACTTTATGTGACAGCTGCACAGCGGGCAGAGTAACAAATCACCTTTCCGCATAGACCGATATTACATCCGAAAAAGAGATCTTATCTATTGTAAAAGGATGCCAATCGACCTGCCGGAAACGCCTTACCAACATGATAGAATAATTTGCTAAAAATATAATAGACACTGTACAACACGAACTAGATGAAATTCTCTCAAATATTTGCACTATGTGTGCCATCTTTTTTCAAAGTGAAAAAGGATGGCACAAATAGGGTCATACTAGATCTTAAAGTTATTAATACTTTTATGTTTTATTACCATTTCAAAATGGACTCACTAACTACGATCACTAAGCTTGTAGAACAAAGGAAGGGTGTTTTATATCAATTTACGTGCGCTTGCCTAACGCTTACCTAGTGGACCACGGGAGTTCACAAATACTCTAAAACCCCCTTCGCTAGATTGCACTCAAAAGGGCACATCATCTCGGGACATCTGGATGATATCTATTTACATTTGCAACACTTCAAATTCATTGCGAAATCTTGAATTTCTTGAAGCTTAGCCGAAAGGATTAAAGGCATTAAATCAGGTTACTCATCTCCATCATCACAGCCATTTTGATTTCTTCCTCCATCTTTTTCAGCGTCAAGCTTTTCTGAAGTGATGTTATTGTTTTTATCGTGGATGCGTTTTTTATGGATGCGTAGGATAGGCAACGCAGAGAATGTGGCGGATTCTCGGTGAGATTGTAGAAGGATTAGTTCACGTCCATTCACCCATAGAAGGATTAGTTCACGTTCATTCACCCATAGAAGGATTAGTTCACGTTCTTTCACATGATTTCTTCTTCTCTGTTGCGCATTGTTTGAACCACTTTGTGTTGCGCTCTCTTGACTAACCCAATTAACCTCTTAAATTGGCTACCTCACTTTGGGGCCAGATTTAGGTTGAAGTGCCAATGAATTTGATTTTCAGCCAAGAAATGATTTAATTTTTCATGTGCCAACTTCAACTATTTCGCTGCAGCCTCGAAAGTTTTTGCTTTGTTAGAATACACCTTCTTTGGTCTTTCTCTCTCGGCAAGTAACTTCTTGAAGCTTTGAAAAAATTCTTGAGTTTCCACCTTATCTAGTCTTTGTCTTTTTTCCAGGCCCAATCCAGGATATCTGAATATTCACCAGTAGGCATTCCCAGCAGCTGTCTAGCAAACGTTAGCTCTCCAGTCCTGGAAGCTAATTCCTCATCTAAATGTGGCTAGCTAGAATGCCCTCAGTTGACTGTTGATTCATTTTCATCGCTTCTCTAATCGTTACTCTGCTACTGATGATGTCATCAACATAGATTAACTACCGAAGCTCTGCGACTAAGTTTTGTGCACGATTTTCCCATGATAGCAAATGCTCTTCAATAACACCATCGAGCAAGAAAGGTGAGGAGCAAGACGAAACAAGATCATATTAAATCTTGATATTTCCATTTCCGAATGCTCATTTGCTGCCTAGTGCACCCTAGGAGCATCCCTCTCTTCTTGTTTGACATGCACTTATAGAAAAGCCAGTTTTATATCTCCTGTCAACAACACTGGGTGAGACCGCATTCGCACAAGAACATTTCAAAGTCGGTTTTAGAGTGGAGGTTCTCCCTGATTCTTGTAGATAAATGGCGCTAGTTTTGCCTTTATATGAGGAATTATATCCTACGCAATTGAATTCATATACCACCATTGATTTAATTGAATCAGGGATTGGGTCTTTGAGCGAGAAGAAGTTTTTGAATTTAAATAATGTGAAAATTAATCGAGTATCAATATCTGTACAGAAACGTTTAATAATGCTCGTAGGTCTGCGCTGTGTGTGTCGTGAGTAATGTCCGATGTAGGCTAGTTTAAAAACTCGAGTTGTTCTTTTGGAATTCTCGTTTGCGTTAGTCGTGGTCATCGTATCAGGAGTTTCAGTGTCCAGTTTGAGGTTATTGCTCTTTTTGTTGTCTATAAATCGTTTGACGGTTCTGGTTAATAAATTGCTGTGGGAATGAGTTTCGTAAAAGAATGGATGTGATATTTTTTATGTCTCGTTGGAAGCCATTGTTCGTATTGTCAGGGGCTTGGAAAGCCAATGGAGTGTGGGTGTCCGAACACCCACAATTTTTGTATTATGGGTGTACCTTAAAGGAAGGACAACCAAAATTTTGCTTCTCGCTTAACATTTATGATAAGTATACCAAATTTTCAAATTATTGATCGGGCACCTGGAACAAGGGAAATTTTAAATGGTTTGAACATTTACGAAATGACGGAAATATGCAAGTCATTTGTATGTAATGAAAGACAACAAAATGTTTTGGTAGGATTTTTGTAACGTTTCCTCGAAAAAGCAGAACAACTGATTGAAAATAAGTAACGTGAAGCAATTTTATTGCTATTCAAAGTTTCTTGCGTTTTGACATGACGAATAAGGAACACCCCAAGTCTTAAACGCTTCCAGAGCCTCTGCGTAGTGTTAAGTTTATATGCTCTCTCAATGAGTGTGCGTATAAGTCTGGTTTTGTATGACAGTGGTGTTCGACTAAAATAGCTCATCAGAAGTCTATGTGATATGTAGACGTTGTACAGGTCTCATTGGATTTTGTAAATTAAAAGTCAAAAACTGGCAGTTGATCTTGTTGTTCATATTCAGTTTCAAATGAAAATCTGATGTTTGTTCACTGGGTGTTGATATAATTATAAAATTTCATGATCTCAGTTTTGTTGGTAAAAACAAAAATAGTTAACCATTGTTATAGCTTTATGACGTCAACAAGTGCAGCCTGGAATTGAATTAGGTTCTCTCGCCCCCAATGCGAGAATCACACCACTAGATCAGCGGGCCACCTTCATACAAATGTAGTAAATCACACCACTGAGGTTATGAACTTTTGTAATTACATAAATAGATAATTATAATTATATTACATTTTATAATTACAATTTTTTTAATTTTTTGCACGCAAAAATTAGACTTTCGTTCGAGACTCGACTTTAAGATCAACTGTACTAAAAACTAAGATACTTAAGTACAATTCACCACTTCACCAATAAAAAGCATATGTACAATTTCAGCATGTCACGTGGTACAAATTGTAAACATTGCGTACATTGGAATAGCTTTATTATATATTCTTATACTGCGTTGACTATTTTTGTTTGAAACTTTTGTACCAATTTACACTAGCTACTACGCCGTTTGCCGTCACAAAGCTAACGCAGTGATTTTCATGTCACGTCAAGATCATTCAATACGAATCACTACAAACTACTCATATATTTTACGGAATCATTAATATTTATCATCGATTTGAAAAATATAGCTGTCTTTTCAGCGCATGAATTTATCTCCACGATGACACACACAACTATCCAACGCAAACATTTCTAGAGCACTTTGGCGGTGAGAAATGATGAAAGTATACTCAATCACTATTTTCATTCTTTTTTATCATGTTTGATTAGCGAGAATCGTTGTTACTTACACATAAAACATCACATTTTAGCCATCCTATCGGACTACTGATTCAGTATTCACATTTTCTACAGTCGATTTTATTGACTATAGAAGCTACACATATTACTAACCGTACCATGCACTGTTATTTATAAAACATTTAAAAACATATTTGCATCAAAAAACTGCTAAAAAACACATAAATGGTCAAAATTTTTCAAGTCAAAACGGTCAATGCCGTATAAGAATATATGATAAAGCCGTTACAAAGTACGCAATGCAAACAGTTTGTACCACGTGACAAGCCAAAACCACACGTGATTCGTATTGGTGAAGTGGTGGAATGCCTGCAAGTGGCCCGATGGTCTAGTGGTATGATTCTCGCTTAGGGTGCGAGAGGTCCCGGGTTCAATTCCCGGGTGGGCCCGTTGATGTCGTAAAACAAATACATACGTTGACTATGACAAAACTAGTTCATGAAATTTTATAATTACTTCAACACAAGACGGACATTTTACTAACAAAATCCTATGACTCCTGTATATCGTCTACATATCACAAACCAACATGCGGATGGTCAACCCTCAAACCTCCATAAAATGATGATTATACAATATGCTTCTTCAATTTTTTTTCGAGTCCCGCTCAATTTTATTGGACAAAATATTTCGGAACTTTCCGAAAATATTTTTTCAGTACAGACCTCATTGATGTTATCGCAAAAGCAAGATTACCCAGAAAGTATCTTGCGCAATATGGTCAAGTTGCTACGAAACAAGTAGTAAGGTACATGGAAAGTAAATTTAACAGATTATGAACTTTGTTTTGAGAAAACAAATGGTGACATTGGTCTTGTTGCCAGAGGTGATGCCAGTTGAGCATAACCTTTGGATGAAAGGCAAAATACATATGTCTTCTCATTTTGTCTCTCTGGGACACATCTCAAAGAAAGCCATTAAACAACCAAAAATTGAGTTACATTTCTTTCATGTGAGGCAGAGGAGATAAGCTTAGCAGCAACAGCGCAAGAAATATTTTACATAATGCAACTTCTAACAATTTTGAGTGGAAAATTATATAATTCACTCACAATTCACTTGCGTTGGTCGTTGTCGACGTATCAGAAGTTTGCGATGAAACAAAAGATACGTCTTTTTTGTCGCTATCAAAAACATTTGCGTGAGATGCAAGGTCGTCGAAGAAAGTAAAAGAATCTTTAAGTTGAGGTCATCTTGTATGAGTTGTGTTAGTGGGGAACTAAGATACTTAATTAAATATCAGTATCAATTTATTTATGTAGACCGCTGGTCTAGTAATATGATTCAGGTGGGCCCGTTGATGACATATAATAATTACAACGTCATTAGCCCATAATTACGACGATATGTTTTGTGTTTTTACTTATTAAAGAAACTGAGGCCATGAAATTTTATAATTACATCAACACACAGCACGCAAGCATTACATTTTCATTCGAAACTTAAAAACAAGATCAACTGCATAATATATTTGACAATTTACAACCAAAATCCCATGACACGTGTACAACGCCTACATATCACAAACCAACATACACAGACTTATGATGAACTATTAGTTTTACACCACTTTCATACAAAGCCAGACTTATACGCACACTTATCAACACAGCATACAAACTTAACAATACAAACAATGGCTTTCCAAGAGACAAAAAAACCACATCATATCCATTCTTTTACGATACTCCTTCCCACTAAACTTTATAAACGAACCGTAAAACAATATCTCAACAACAAAAATAACAATAAACTCAAACTGGACGCTGAAACACCTGATAAGACGACCACCACCAACGCAAACGAGAATTCAAAAATAACAACTCAGGTTTTTAAACTACCATACATCGGACATTACTCACGACACACACAACGCAGACTTACGAACGTTATGAAACGTTTCTGTACAGATATTGACACTGGACTAATTTTCACATGATTTAAAATCAAAAATTTCTTCTCATTTAAAGATTCCTGATTAATTAAATCCAAAGGTAGTATATGAATTTAATTGCGTGTGATGTTATTTATCAATGTATGTCGGTTTGTATTATGCAGACTTTGTACAGGTGTCATGAGATTTTGGATGTAAAATGTCAAATATATGCAGTTGATCTTGTTCTTCAATTTCAAATGAAAATCTAATTTTTGAGTCCTGTTTGTTAATGTAATTATAAAATTTCATAGCCTCGGTATAAAAATACAAAAAATATCGTCAACGTGTTTCCTGTAAAATTGTGGTTTAGTTTTGTTGTAACTGTTTATCCAGTTTCGATCATGTCATATACCCATGAATATGTTAGAAAATATGGGGGGGCTAAGGGAAAATCCATAGCAACACCGTCTGTCTGGTCAAAAAATTTCCCATCAAACATAAAATGCGTCTGTGCTTTCGTTATGAAAAACAGTTGTGTGAGGTCCGTCATGTTTATAGTGAGCCTGGGGTTGTGAGTGAATATTGCGTCAATTGATATTTTAATGGTTTCAGTCAGTGTTATGTTAGTGAATAAGCTTTCAATGTCGTGGGAGAAGAAAAATTTGTGACAACAGGTGTTTGAGTTGAAAGATGCAAGTCGTCGAGGAAAGTGGAAGAATTTTTAGTGGAGTGGTAATCCGGTATGAGTGGTGTTAGTAGGGGACTAAGATATTTACTTGATACTGTGCGAGCATATGGCCCGCTGGTCTAGTGGTATGATTCTCGCTTCGGGTGCGAGAGATCCCGGGTTCAATTCCCGGGTGGGCTCAAAGATGTCATTAAGCAATTACAACAACACTAATCTACTATTGATTGCATATAACTATGGGTGCTATTTTTTGTGTTCCTACTAACGAAACTGAGGCCATGAAATTTTATAATTACATCAACACACAGCACGCAAGCATTAGATTTTCATTTGAAACTGAACAACAAGATCAACTGCCTATATTTGACATTTTACAAAATCCCATGACACCTGTACAACACCTACATATCACAAACCAATATACACACTTTCATACAAAGCCAGAATTAGAAACACCTTCATTAACAGAACATACAAACTTAACAATACGAACAATGGCTTTCAACGAGACCTAAAAAACAGCACATCTATTCTTTTACGAAACTCCTTCCCACTACAATTTATTAACAGAACCATAAAACGATATCTTGACAGCAAAAATAGTAATAAAAATATCTCAAAATGGACACGATTCGACGACCACGACCAACGCAAACGAAAATTAAAAAAAAACTCAATACTATAAGTTACTATACATCGAAATATACAAATACTACAATAATAGACAAATACCGGACAACTATATACCAGTGTCTTTTGATGTGAAATCACCGTTCACCAGTTTTCCACTTAATCTGGCACTTATTTGTACAAAAACCTTCATTACGAACACCACGGACGTACTGCCATTACCGACGGAAGACATTATGGAGCTGCTGGAGTTCTGCCTCACATCGACTTACTTCCAGTACTAAGGTACTTACTACAAACAATTACATGGGACAGCAATGGGCTCACCCTTTTCTGTTGTAGTTGCTGAAATTGTAATGCAATCTATAGAGGAACGGGGCGCTCACGACTTACAAACATGCATTACCTTTTTGGTTTCGCTACGTAGATGACACAATCACAGCACTACATGCAGACGAGATTGATGACTTTCACACTCACATCAAGAAACAGAACAGCCACATACAATTTACCAAAGATGTCGAAGAAAACGGAACTCTTCCTTTTCTCGGCTGTTTGGTAAAACATGACAATCAAAAACTACCAACAACAGTTTATCGCAAACCCCACTGAACAGATTACAGCAATTACCGGCACCTTAAAACGACTTATTCACAATACAAACAAACGATTAACTAAAAACATTACACATCACACTAATTCACAATGACAATGCACAATTGACACCCACCAATTACAACTAAAAACATCACACCTAAATCACACATCACAACTAAAAATAAAAATATTTCACTTTACACTAATTCACAATGACAATACACATTTCCTGTACACACAATACAATGACATAAGTACCAGATAACAAATACGGCTAACCTAACTTTTACTCCTCATTTGACTCTGAAGATGACTACCGCTTAAAAAGTCTGTCGACAACTACAAAAACAGTCCTTCTCAGGTCTATACCAACCTGACGATCTACATTTACAAACATGTAACGATACTCCCGGGTTCAAACCATTTACTTTGTCGTTGTAATTGTTTAGCCAGTTTCGTTGAAAAAAATGACCTAATAAAAATGTTAACAAGTATGGGTGCTAAGAAGAATTCTTCCCAACATTTTCCATTTGGTTTTAAAATTTCTCATTAAATGAAAAATACGTCTGTACTGTTGCTATGAAAAAGAGTTGCGTGTCGTCCGTCTTGTTTATAGGGAGCACTGGGCTGTGAGTGAATATTGTATCAATTACTAGATTGATGGTTTCTGTCAGTGGTATGTTTGTGAATAGGTATTCAATAGGAAATAAAGAGTTTGTGACAATTGTTGGATGAGTTAAAACATGCGAATTCATCAAAGAAAGGGGAAAGAATCTATAGTGGAGTAGACATCTGGTATAAGTGATGTTAGTAAGGAACTAAGAGATTATATATTATATAATATGGAAGCGTCACTTCCTACTAAATGGCACGCTTTCATTGGCTCAGAAACATTTTTGCCGGTCCAAAACAAGTAATTTTACAGTTAAATGCATTCAAATTTCGTAATGCAAACAGCAAAACGCAAAATAAGCAAAACAAAACACCTTTTGGAAACAGTTCAACTATACAGGCGATACAATTTAAAGCGTCTTATTTTTATGAACTAAAACTAGAAAAGTGAAAGCCAACCGGCAAAAAAAAGCAAGGACTAGAAAGAAAGCAATCTTTGTTTCAGGTCAAATAATGCCATATTATAAACCTTATAACAACCTTGCTTCCCCGGTCTTTACTGAAACATCGGACCTAAAAAACTGTACAAAAAGCTTTGGTTGCATATTTCTCCGTTAAGACCTCAAGCTTATTGTGAAGAGCTTAGTACGAAAGCACGCATGTGGCCCGCTGGTCTAGTGGTATGATTTTCGCTTAGTTTGCAAGAGGTCCCGGGTTCAATTCCCGGGCCGGCCCGACGATATCGTAACACCATAACAACGACACTAACCCACTGTTTTACCGTAGATACCTTAAAGATGTTTTTTGTGTCTTTACTCACGAAACCGTTCCTTTCGCACTACACTTAATTAGCAGAAACGTAAAACTACATCTCGCCAACAAATATAATAATAACCTCAAACTGCAATTAAAACTCCTGATGCGACGACCACGACCGATGCAAACGGAAATTCCAAAATAACAGCTCAATACTTAAAACTACCATACATCGGACATTACACACGACACACACAGGGTGGACTTACGAACATTATCAAACGCTTCCGTACAGATAATGTTCACATCACTTAAAATCAAAAACTTCTTCTCATTGAAAAACCCAATCACTGATTCAATTAAATCCATGGTGGTACACGAGTTCAACTGAGCGTCATGCAATTCCATATAACTTGGCGAAACTTCGAGCCATTTATCCACCAGAATTAGAAAACAAACAACATCAGACAAAAACTCTCATACATTCGAAAACACGTTTGGAAAATAATAGTAAAGATCATGTGTAGCTACTGCAAAATAAGAATCATTGTATAGAATTTCAAAGGGTTCTGAAGCTGTAGATGACTCTGACGATGATGTTTGCAACCACCAAAACGCAGTTATGAGCAGTTTTTATCAGGAAGATAGTACACTTATATTGCCAACTCTCTGGCCAACACTTTGATGGTGAGAAATGATGAAAATATACTCGATCACCATTTTCATTCTATTTTAATATGTTTCAATAGCGAGAATCTTTATAACTAACACAAAAACACATAACGTTTTAGCCATCCTTTAGGACTACTAATTCAGTATTCACAATTTCTGCCGTCGCTTTTTATTGACTGCAGAAGCTACACATATTACTAACCGAACCGTGCACTGGTATTTATAAAACATTTGAAAACATATTTGCATTAAAAAACTACCAAAAAAACGCATTAATAGTCAACGTTTTTTAAGTCACAACAGGCAATGACGTATAAGAATATATGATAAAGCCGTTACAAAGTACGCAATGTTCACAGTTTGTACCACGTGACAAGCCAAAAACTACATGTGCTTCCTATTGGTGAAGTGGTAAATTGTATGAATGTGGCCCGCTGTTCTAGTGGTATGATTCTCGTTGGGCCCGTTGATGTCATAAAACAATCACATACGTTGACGATGACGAAACTAGTTCATGAAATTTTATAATTACTTCAACACACAGCACGCAGACATTAGATTTTCATTCGAAGCCGGACATTAAGACCAGCTGCCATTTCTTTACATTTCACTAACAAAATCCTATGACTCCTGTACATCGTCTACATATCACAAACCAGCATTCACAGGACTTATGATAAAATAATAAAGGATGGTCAACACTCAAACCTCCATAAAACGATGATTATACATTATGGTTCTTCAGTGTTTTTTTTCGAATCTCGCTCAATTTTATAGGACAAACTGGTTCGGGACTTTGCGAATATTTTTTACTAGAGACCTCTTTACTAGACATTAATGTTATCGCATAAGCAAAATTACCCAGAAGGTATTTTGTGCAATATGGTCAAGTTGATACAAAACAAGTAGTAAGGTACATGGAAAGTAAATTTAACGGATTATGAACTTTATCTTGGGAAAATAAATGGTGACGTTGGTATTGTTGCCTAAGGTGATGCCAATTGGGCATAACCTTTGGATGAAAGGCAAAATAGGTACATTTTCTCTTTTTGTATCTCTGGGAGACATCTCATAGAAATCCATTCAACAACCAAGAGTTGAGTTGCATTTCTTTCATGTGAGGCAGAGGAGATAAGCTTAGCAGCAATAGCGCAAGAAATATTTTATTTAATGAACTTCAAACAGCTTTGAGTGGAAATTTATATAATTCACTCGCGTTTGACTTGCGTTGATCGTTGTCGACGTATCAGGAGTTTGCGATGAAACAAAAGATACGTCTTTGTTGTCGCTATCAAAAACAGTTCCGCCAGGTCCGTCCTATTTATAGGGAGCATGGGGTTGAAAGGGGTTGATGGTTTCAGTCAGTGCGTGGTTTATGAGTGAATAGGCTTTCAACGTCGTAGGAGATGAAGAATATGTGACAAGATGTGGTTGAGTTGAAAGATGCAAGGTCGTCGAGGAAAGTGAAAGAATATTTAATGGGTAGGTCATCTTGTATGAGTTGCGTTAGCTGGGCACTAGGATACTTAAATAATTTATACGATGTTAACATTACATGCTTTTGGCCCGCTGGTCTAGTTGTATGGTTTTGTGATATGTTGGTGTGCGAGAGGTCTCTGGTTCAAGTCCCGGGTGGGCCCGTTGATGAAAATTAACAACTTAACTTTGAAGTTTACGACACTGAAGTCATACAATTTCATAATTACATAAATACATAATTATAATTACATTGTATTATATAATTAAATATTTTATAATTGTTTGCCCGCAAACATTAGATTTTCGTTCGAGACTCGACTTTAAGATCAACTGTACTAAAAACTAAGATACTTAAGTACAATCCACCACTTCGCCAATAAAAAGCACAAGTAATATTTTAGCATGTCACGTGGTACAAATTGTAAACATTGCGTA